CAGAATCTCTTGCACCTTTGTCAAAGGAGAGAAAGAAACTGGATGATCACTACAATGATCTGAAACGTAGACTCGATCGTGAACGCGACTTGCAGGAGGAGCAGTATAGAGAAAATGATCAGGAAGTTGGTGCACTGCTTCATACTATATCTAAAATCAAAGAGTATACCCTCTGCTCATAGAATTTTGTATTTTTTTCCCTCGTCCATTGATGTTATCCCTCACTAGTTCCTTTTTCCCAGCCATGATAAAAATAAGGACGACAAATTAAAAGGGCTACAAGAAAGACAAACTCAGTTGGAAGTAGAGCTTAAAAGTTGTGATATCAGGAAGAATGAAATTTCGAAGGAAGTGGAGAAAAGTAGGGAGGTGATTCAAAAGCAGGCAACATTAAGGCGCAATATAGAAGACAACTTGGAATACAGAAAATTGAAGGGACAAGTGGAAGAGCTTACTGGGGAGATTGACTCACTTGAAGAAAAAATTCTGCAGATTGGTGGTGTTTCCAACACTGAAGCTCTGCATTCTAAGCTCAATCAAGAACGAGATAGTCTTCTTACGGAGGTTTGAAAATTAAGCACTAAGTGATTCATACTGTACTAGTTAATGATAAGTGATAACTTATTTGAAAAATGTGCCAATCGAAAGTCCAGGCAAGATTTGTGCTTTTGAAGTTCATGATGGCGGGTGTATAATTGTAGTTGCAGAATGTGCTGAAAAAAGAATTTTACATACTCCAAGTATCAATATCATATTTTTATCTTCTAATTTAGTGTTCCTTCTGTTTCAACTTATGTTATTAATTTCGATTCTGCATTTGGCTCTAAACTCTTCCCATTAGCATCGATAGTGATAATGATAGCGTGAATCCTGACTAATGTTTTCATAACTGATGTCGATTCTGCTTACAGTTGAATAAGCGCCGTGGCACACTATCTGTTTACAGAAGCAACATTGAAAGGAACAGAGTTGATCTCAAGCAGGCTCAATATAAAGACATCGACAAACGTTACTTTGATCAATTAATTCAGCTGAAGGTGATTTATGGAGTTGCAATTTTTAAACCCCGGCCCTTGTGCCCTCCAGAAGACAATTGTTGAATTTTAGTGGACTAAGAATTTTTATCTGATTCTTTTCTCATGACAGACGACTGAGATGGCAAACAAGGATCTAGACCGATATTACAAAGCACTTGACAAGTGAGCTCTTAAAATTTGATGTCTTGTTTTCTAAGTATTCAATACCAAAACAACTGATTGTTTCATAATAAATTCCTCCTAATCTCAGAGCACTCATGCGCTTCCACACGATTAAAATGGAGGAGATAAATAAGATTATAAGGGAACTGTGGCAGCAAACTTACAGGGGACAAGATATAGATTATATCAGCATTCACTCAGATTCTGATGGTGCGGGTACTCGATCATACAGCTATAAGGTAACCGGAGTTTGTTTCTTTTATTTCTGCTTTAACATCTCGATGAATTGAGACATACAAATTAGATGATGAGAGGTTTTCCAAAACTGTCTACCAAGTCCCTGAAACTATAATGTTTGTACATGAGAGTTTGAAAGGCTTGCTAAAGAAATTTATTTATTT